TGAAGTCACGAAGTAATGAATTAAAAAATAAAAGAATTAATTCATTAATGAAATAATGAAGTCACGAAGTAATGAAGTGATGAATTAATGAATTAATAGATTAAGGAAGTAAGTAACAAATGAAATAATGGATTAATGAATTAATGAATTAATGAAATGATAATTTAATTAATTAAGGAACTAATGAAGTAATGAATTTATGAATTAAAGAATAAAATAATCAATGAATTAATGAAGTAATGAAGTAATGAATTACTGACTTAATGAATCACTGATTTAATGAATTACTAATTTAGTGAATTAATGAATTAAGAAATCAATGAATTAATGAATTAAATAATAAAAGAATCAATGAATTAATGAATTAAAGAATAAAAGAATTAATTAATGAAGTAATGAAGTCACGAAGTAATGAAGTAATGAATTAATGAATTAATGGATTAATGAACTAATAAACTAATGAAATAATGGGTTAGTCAATTAATGAAATAATAATTTAATGAATTAAGGAACTAATGAAGTAATGAAGTAATGAATTTATGAATTAATGAATTAATTAGCGAATTGATTATTATTTTTTAAACTACTTATTAATTTGATTAAGTCACATATATAGAAATCCTGACTACCACTAATGAGCAAACAGGCAAACAGACACAAAGACGATTACACAGTCAGACAGGTCCGCATACGAGCAGCTAAACAGGCATGCAGGCAAAAATTAGTTAGGCTGATAGTGTTATGAATTTACCTCCAGCCATACATACATAGACAGATAGACAGATAGACAGATAGACAGATAGACAGATAGACAGATAGACAGATATACAGATATACAGACAAACAGACAAACAGAACAAAGATGGGGCGGGATACTGTCCAATTATGCTATTCTTCGAAGCCCTGATCTCGAGAGTTCGAGTGGAAGTCGGTGCCGTGGGATGACAGGGTCCCGGACAGTGCTGCGGCCGCTTGAAGGGGCCAGAAGAGGGCCGAGCAGACCAGCCAATGGGAATTCAGGCGGCCGGGCAGTCGGGCCTCTGTCCTCGGCCTGCTCACCTCCCGGCGGCCCGGCTCTCGGATGCCCCGGGCCGAGAGGGAGGCTTAATTAGGCCTCAACTGAACATGCATAATTGACCCGACCATCAATTTGGGAGTAGCCAATTAATCAATCCATTAATTAACGGATTGCTGCCTCCTCCTTCACCGTCTGCTCAAAGCCCCATTTCCTCGGCCGCTCTCTCTGCCCCACACTAAACTGGGACCTTAGCATCGGTTCCCCTCTCCCTCTCTCCCTCTTTATCTCTGTATCGTCCTTTCCTTCTTTCCTTTTTTTCCAACCTTTCTCTCCTGCCTCGCCTCTTTCTGGCCCCTCTGTCTGAACCGTTCACCAGACCTCTTTCACTCCACTCTTGGCCACTGTATGCCAGACACAATCACACACACACACATAGAGAGAGAGAGAGAAAGAGCTTCACACAAAAACACATGAGCAGACTGTCTGCTCAGCCAATTAGCCTCATTTTCTTCCCGGCATGGCAACCTAGTCTGCATTAACTTAATCCCCGACGCATACACTCTCAAGGCCTCAAATGACGCTCCACACCCACATGGCCAGCCACTCAGCCGGCCAGCCAAATAATTCACCGCCCGCCCGACCAGCCGAGCGACTATTCTACCTCGGCCTGTGGGGCTCGACCTCGCCAATGACAATGCCCTTTTTGTGCGACATGTAGCCATGGCCCACATGATACTGGCTCCAGTCCCTCCATCTTCTCCCCTCCTCCCCCCCCTCTACCTCTCTGTGTGTTTGTGTGTTGCTCAATCTTTCCGCAAGGCCAGGCCAGGTCATGCGGCCTTTGCACCGCCTCTCGACTGTCGGGCAGAGCATGCCGGGTCCCAGACCGGCTCCTCTTCCGGCGGATGGCAAGCTCGAGTCCCGTTGCCTCCGATTCAGCCTCGTTCATCCTTTTCACCTT